TATGATACTCAGCAACTTCAGCCTGCACATAAAACGTTAATCCATAAGCATGCAACAATAACAAAAAAAACAAATTTGAAATTGAGGCGGAAAGACAACCTCTCCTGATGCATCAAGCAATGCTGCTTCCTCCTCAAGCTTCGAGACCTTTTCCCCTATACCAGGTAAAGCCTAAATATGAGAGAAAGATCCGTAGTGGTTAGTCATTATGCACCAGATTCTGGTGCAGAACAAATAAAATATGTGATTCCATAGAAACCTTTTCATACTGAAATTGGTGGAATGAATTCTTTATCACGTGTTCAGCTGTGAATTGGCCTTCCGCACGGCTCAACAAATTCAAAATTGAGTAATAGCTGAGTCTGAAAGTACTAACTAAAGGAGCTGGTTTACCCAAAACCATATCCTTGAGTGTGTTCATTTCCATCTGCAAAAAGTAACAAGGTAAGAATTCATTTCCTGACTTAGGAAAGTAAATGGCTTTCTTGCTTGTTCAACATCACACTGGGCTGCGATAGAATTCATGTGATATAACCAAACATAAATAAATAAAAGGGATCTTTCTCATTATAGCCAAGCATAAATAAATAAAAGGGATCTTTCTCACTATACCCTTTATAAATATGAATTTAGCTCCGAAAATATAGGACAATAAAACATAACAAAGCAAGGGAACAGTTAAACTCAAGGTGACTAAATGGAAGACCTCAACATATGGAAGGACTTCCAATGATTGATGTATAATGTTAAATTTATCAATTTTGAATCTATACAGAAATTAGTGAGTAGCACTTGTATACAACGGAAAGATGACTACTAGTAGAATCACCTGTTCATCAATCATTATGATACAAATACCCCGCTCATCTTTGCCACGACACCCAGCCCTTCCACTCATCTAGAGCAATTAAGATAATAGTTAATAATCAGAAAAAGAAAATATCATGTAGCACGCACAAATATACAAACACATGTCATTTTCACTTATTATTTCTCCTAAAGAAAAGCAAAAAAACTCTTCACTTACCTGGATATACTCACCAGATCCGATATACCAGTGACTATCAACATCCCACTTCTTAGCAGCTGTGAAAACAACAGTTTTTGCTGGCATATTTAAGCCCATTGCAAACTGTTCACAAAGTACAGATATTGGTAGAAAAAAACTAATTATTATCTTCACATCTAAGACAGAAAGAAACTAAGTAAGGTACAGCTCTAAACTAAATATATGAAAAAGGAGACCGAAACAGAAGGAAACAGGTGCTTAAGAAAGATTCTTACTGTCTCAGTAGCAAAAAGGGCTTTTACAAGGCCTTCTTGGAAAAGAAGTTCTACCAGTTCCTTGATAACAGGAAGAAGGCCGGAATGATGAACAGCAATTCCTCACTGAAGAAGTGGCAGCATCAACTCAATAGCAGGCAACTCCCTGTCTTCCTCGTTTAAGCAGAGTATTGCATTACGAAAAACCTGTTCAACAGCATCCTTTTCGTCTTGGCTGTTAAAATCAAGCTTAGACATGGGCATCGCATGTTGTTCACACTCTCTTCTACTGAAGCTGAAAATTATAACTGGCTGAAATTTCCGTTCCATAATCATCTGAAAATTTATGGCATAGAAGTGGTATTAAATAAGTAAATGAGCGAATGAACGAAGAAGGATAGGCATATGAGTGATGTCAATTGAATAAAGCACCAAAATTTGTTGGATCAATATAGAAGTATTTGCTCTAAGAGCCTTGAATGTGGGGAGCAGCCTCATTTCTAACAGTCCATGTGATAACCCAGCCTTTAGGCAACTTGCCAAACAGGCTACTAAAGAAAACATTACGCTATGAGAGCATTTTATACTCTACTTTTCTTTTTTCTTTCTTTCTCTTTGTTCTTATAACTATAATCTTTAGATGTCCTACGCAATCCCCTAAACAGTGACCAAATTACTTCTCGGACAAGAATAGGTAAATAGATGTAATATTTTTTGGACAAGAATAATTATACTTATTGGAACTAATAACAGGTAAAAAGATGTAATATTTTTTCATGGTATTTTTTCAAATACTAGAAAAACCACCTTTGGAAGGAAGAGCAAACCTTCAAGAGGGAAGAACGAAAGTTAAAGTTGAAGAGCACACCTTCACAATTTTGAATATGTCTGAACCCCCGGATGCATTCCCAACTTTTGCAAGTCTCCCACTAGCCTTGTTATTCTGTGACCATCACCCAACTTTTGCTTTGAGAAAGTATCATGAAGCTCCACAAAATTTTCCTCCCTGAATTGTTCATTCTCATCCACCACAAGATACAACCCGTTCCCACCCACCGGAAAAACGTAATGCTGCAGAGGAGTTGGTCGAAAATCTGTGTACACCACATGACAAGGATGTTTGTGCAAATTACAAATCCACTCTGCAAACTCAGTTGCGTTCGACATTGTGGCTGAAAGAAAAACCATTTTAACAGCTGGAGGCATAAATATAATACTCTCTTCCCAAACAACCCCTCTTTCACGATCCTTCATGTAATGAATTTCATCGAAGATAACCCAGGCGACTTCCTTTAAAACCTCTGAACCCCTGTAAAGCATTCCCCTAAGGATCTCAGTAGTCATAACCAAACAACTAGCATTTGATGAGAGTGTAACATCTCCAGTCATCAATCCAACATCTTCAAACTCCTGGCTGAGCTCTCTATACTTCTGGTTGCTCAGAGCCTTCAATGGCGAAGTTTATATAACCCTCTGCTTGTCTCTAAAAGCCATGGCAATCGCATACTCTGCGACTGCAGTCTTACCAGCTGAAGTATGGGCGGAGACCAAAACTGATTCCTTCCGTTCTAAGCATGCCACAGAAATTTGCTGAAAGGGGTCAAGGGTAAATTGGTATGTCTTGGCCGCCTCGCCATTATACACAGGATTTGAAAGGGTTCCATAAACCGACTCATCCTTGGTCGAAGCGTAGTCACTGGGAACTGCAACCTCATGCACACATGTTCGAGTCAAATGGCGTCGCTTCAGGGGAGATTCATCGGTGGGAGTTTCTGTGATCTCTGACGCTTCAGGTTCTTTTCGTTTCGCAGGCGTTGGAGATTCTTCCATCACTAAAACTACATCCACTTCTCAGCTAAACCCAACAAATTCTCCTACTAATAATATTGGGTTTTCCTTCTGCAGATGAAACAAAATGTCGTTCGTTCAACACAAAAGGAATTTACTTTGTCTTTTTTTGGAGGAAAATCAATAGGACCCAATACTTGGAAGAATATAATCGTCACAAATATTCCAAAAATTACACAAAAAGTTTGATTTCTCATTTTTTATTTAAAAAAAAAAAATTGCTTTTGGATTTCGGGTATGAACAGCCATTGCACGTATGACCAGCGTCACCTAGGTTACCCTAAGGAAGATTCAGATTAATTAAGTTAACCCAAATTCCACGAAAATTGTGAGAACTTAGACGAAAATGGGAAGAGAGAGAGAGAGAGAGAGAGAGAGAGAGAGAACCGAGCTTTCCCCTGTGAGAAACAAGGCCCTAGCTTGACATATAGTGTACGGTACTACAGGACAAGTGTTCAAATCAATGTTAGGGTTTTACCGGAAGAGCCAATTCCTGGCAATTTGGGTTTCACCGTCTGTTGCAGAGCTATCCAAATAACGGCGCTTGGTTTTCACCAAATCGGATACCCTACTTTTAATGTGACTCTCATGGAAAGAGATTACAATTGTACTATCAAACCAATTAAAAAAACCTAGAGCATGTGAACCTTAAAGTAAGATTCACTATGAGATAAAGTTTAACTGAAATTCGATTCTACTGAAAAGAGGTCATTGAGATTAGTTAATGCATATATAGAAATGTGATTCTACACAACACGAAAATGTTTAAAAAAAAAACTAAAAGCAAACAATGCATTCATCGCCATCTGATGGAGGAGAGAATAAAAAGGTCCTCCACATTTCCGCGGATCCATCACCAAATCAAATGACAGATATGTTGCGTTTCTTAGTTTTGTTCGAACATTTTTAGGCAAGGTGAACATCCGTGCAATCAAGAGGAATGGTTCAGAATATGATTTCTCTTAGTCGGACATGATTCTTCAAAAATATTCCCATTTTACCCAATAAACTTTGCTCAACAAGTTACCATGATTTTTTTTTTTTTTTTTTATCCCTACGGCCTCTTTGCAGCAAATAAATAGCCTTAGCTTATGTGGGGTTTTAATCTTTATGTATCCTCTTCTGTTATCTGGTCTATCTACATTATGGTCACGTGTACTGGTTATACCACAACATCAAGTATCAATAAATATTCATTCATATTACGACACTTGAATTACTTATATCTCGTGACGTGTAATCATATCAATATCACTCTACTCTTGTACGCCAATCACCTATGCACATAGTAGCCACACAATAGAACATTATGCTCCGGTATACTTCCATTAGTAAACGATATTGTGTTTGTGAATTTTAACTACTTAAACCACAAGCCACTTGTATACCAAAAAAAGTTTTTATAATCATATACTAGCCTAAATCCACACACTTTGTGTGTAAGACCAGTTTTTTTTTTGTTTTTTAACAGGGGGTTTGTGCAATTAAGAAGAGATAGGGAAGGGTGGAATGTTTTGATAATATGTTGGTGAAGAAAAAGAGAAAAATAGTACAATTCTTTTTGTGCGAAATTATCTTAATGCTTATGATTTTTTTAATATTTTTGTTGAATTATAAATAGAGGACAAAATTGTTTTTCTACTATCTTTTGGTTGACATAGAGAGTTTGTTAGTAGATAGCTACTGATTCATACTATTCGCTATGGTGTAAACTACTTTTATTTAGGACAATTTCCAACAAAGTAACAACAAAGGGCATTTGGTCTAGTGGTATGATTCTCGCTTAGGGTGCGAGAGGTCCCGAGTTCAATTCTCGGAATGCCCCCACACTTTTTAATTCTTTTCCTCCTTTTGTGTGTTTTTTTTTTTTAATTTATTTTTTTATGTTTTCCTCCCGTACAAGAAAGCAAAGCAGTAGGAGCAGTATTTGGTCTCTCCGACTTCCTCAGCTCTCTCTCTGCTACCTATCTGTGAGTCTGTGACCCTCTTCCCTTCCCCACTAGGCGTTGCTATTTTCCTCAAGGATGGATCAGTCGATACAGAATGACCTTAATGCCCCTCACTCCATGGGCACCACCATCATCGGCGTCACCTACAATGGCGGCGTCGTCCTCGGCGCCGATTCTCGTACCAGCACTGGTAAAATACCATCATACCATCCCTCTCTCCTTCCCTCTCTTTTGGTTTTTGTAGGGCGAAGCACTTGAGCTCCTTTTCCCAATTTTATTTGATTTTTGGGCGGAATTTGGTTGATTTTTGTTGATGATTTTAGGTGTTTATGTTGCGAATCGAGCATCCGACAAGATCACTCAGCTCACTGATAATGTCTACTTGTGCCGCTCCGGATCGGTATCTATTTCTCTCCGCTTCCTTTTTTTTTGTTACTTACTGAACAAATTTGATGTTTTTTTTTTTTTTTTTTTTTTTTTTTGTGAATGCTTGTGATTTCTGTTGTTTGCATACATGTGTGAGGATTAAATGGTGTTCCGCCCCTCAAGCTGTTGGCCTTAGGCAAGAGAAAGAGGAAATTTAATAAGTTATTATTGTTATGTCTTGTATTAATATTATGCTTTGTTCAATTTGATGGTAAAATAATTGAACTATCTTAATTAGTTATACACAAAACCAAGTTGATTATAAGATTTCGGAGATGTAGTTGACGCAATCCTGACAACAAAATTACTTAGAGGGTATAGGAAAGTTCTGTAATAGCCTTCGGGATGTCCTCCGTTATGATCTCGTAACTCTTGTTTGTTTAGAGCCTTACGTTTTCCAGATTTTAGGCAAACTGAGGGATTGTTTGGTGGCTGGTTGGATCTTTGGGCTTTAGCATGTCATAGTAAAAAGAATAACTCGACTCCACACACCCTTAAACCTTATTTGGGGTTGGCTACATGGATTTTCATAAGAAACTAAGTGCAATAGACCCCATGAATTCTCTTATGTTTCATGGTCGTATCTAGTCCTAATATCATCCACAGGATCTTTTGCAGACGCAGCTTCGTGACCGCTTCTACCTATTTCAATCCTTATTTCCCTTTACTATTGTTGTGTTATTTTGTTTTTGAATCATTCAATATCTCAGGAACATTGTTCGATAGTTAAGCAAGAAGGCCTTTTCTGTAAAAAACTCTGTAGTTTCTGTATTCTGTCATTAATCTGTCTACCATTCTATTCCCAGGCTGCAGATTCTCAAATTGTGTCTGATTACGTGCGTCACTTTCTCCATCAACACACGTAAGTGACAGAGCAACTGCTGGTTTTAAACTAACTGTTTTTTATCTTCCCCTTTGTATAAGAATTGTGCATATTTTTTTCTTATTTTCGTAGGTGTTTTCAGTGGCTTTCAACTATATAATTTTGACATGCTTAATTTTGGCAATTAACTCTTAAAGACATAATTCCAAGCAGACTGGAGTACTTTTGGGAAGCATTTTGTTGCACCCAACCTACGATGATTTTCAAAGATTTTTTGTTCATCTAATGGACTTCATTTTGTGGCATCATATGCTTTTTGGGCTTGCTGAATGCATTTTCTTTGTTTGAGTTTTCTTGCTGGAAATTAAATGAAACATTAAACATTGTGCAACCTGATAAATAGTTCTCAAAGTTATGCTTTAGAGGTTGAAGTTGTAAACTTTGAAACTTGTGGTGGTAAGAATTTTTAATTTTTTGTTGCAATTATCAGTCAAAAGTTTCGATTTGTGTAGGATACAGCTGGGCCAGCCTGCAACAGTCAAGGTTGCTGCAAACCTTATCAGGTTGTTCGCATACAATAACAAGGTTTGTCTCTGGTATTCCTTTTCCTTGCACAACCCTTGCGTCAGGCTGTGTTTTAGTTTGTTTTCCCTCCTAATGAGTTAAATCTTTTCTATTGTGCGAAACTCCTCTTCAAGAATATGGCATCTGATTGTAATTTAAAAGTATTCTGGAAATATTTTATAATATAAAATTCTAATGATATATGTAGTAATCTTTTCCTTTCAGATATTGTTTGTGATTTCATCATTTGTATAAGTCATGATTGCGGCTTCATGTGTAACTATTTGCCAGTATATTTCGTATTCCTTATGTATTCTTTCTATATTTGGTAGAATATGCTACAAACTGGCATGATTATTGGTGGTTGGGACAAGTATGAAGGAGGTAAAATATATGGAGTACCACTCGGAGGGACAATTTTAGAGCAGCCTTTTGCTATTGGAGGTGTGTTTTTATAACTCACATATGTTCTTTATAAAGATCTTCTATTTTGTTTTCTATATTTCTCTTGTTGGTTTCCTTGTCATGGTTGAAATGGTTTTCCCTGCAATTATTTTTTTTTCTCCTTTATATCATATGAAACTTTTCTGCATTTGCTTATGAGTTGGTGTAAATTTCTATATTACTCTTTGTTTTAGGTTGCTTTCTCATTGAGCATAGTGAGACCATCTCTAGTGGAGAGGGCTAAAGTTCCAAAAGCCAAAAAATGGCCTAATTTGTCCAAAAATTCATCTCCAACCGAAGGCTGGACTATAATTCCATAGAGCCCACTAGGCTATTATTTGGCCAAAGAGGCATCAAGCTGGCCAAATGTAACCCGATTTGAAAACATTAAAAGGTAGTTTAATGAAATTAACTAATAAATTTAAAGTATAAACTTAAAACTAATAAATTATTGAGGAGGCTATGTTTAGCCCCTTTGGTTGGAGATGGTATATTAATATGGCTTGACACTGGTCATTTAAAAATAATATTTTGCAAGGCTATAATTCTGGACGGGGCTATATTTAGCCCTTTCAGTTGGCGTTAATAGAAAATTCTTTCTGACAAGGTATCATCATACGGTGTAAAATAATTTGAACTTTCAACTCTACTTGAATTTTTATAGTTGAGTAAATGCACAGGTCCTCTACTTTAATTTTTCTTGCCACTTAATGCTATTGAATTACCATAAACTAGTGGCTTGAAGTACTCAAGATCTTTGTGTCATCCAGGATCTGGCTCCACTTATCTGTATGGTTTCTTTGATCAAGAGTGGAAGGAAGGAATGACCAAAGAGGAAGCTGAGGTATGTAATCTTTATGTTTCTGATATTTTTTTGTACTGCTTCAATGCTGGCTTCCTTGATATTTCTGATTAATAATGTACCAAGGTTTGATTCATTCATCATTGGGACAATGAGAAATAAATTAGTGAGATCCAAAATTGCTTGTAGTATTGTGTACGATGTTTACTTTGTTGTATGGTGTTTTAGTTAGGGTAATAGGGAAGTTGGGTGGCTGGTCTTGTGGTGGTAATTGGTTTACTTGGACTGCTATTTTGGTATTTTGGAAGGAACATAGGTTTTTTTCCTTTGAAGGAAATGTGGAAGTCATTGTGCAGTGTCCTTGTGAATGGCTCTTTAGGAGGGCCACCTGCTGGAGAAGATTTTGACTCTAAATTAGTATTTGATGTTACATGGGATGATTTTGCGCCTTGGGGCTAAAGATGTATGCACAAGATGATAGAAGAGTCTGACTCATATTTTGTACGTGTTGTCCACTAGCTTGATCAATATGAGTTTGTGTTATTTCGTAGTTTGTGGTTATATATGAGTTATGCCAAGGTCTCTGTTCAGTGTTCACAGATGATTTTGAGGTTGCACGGCAAGTTTTTCTAGAAATTTAGCATAGTTGTTTGGAATTTGGAAGCTTTGTGTAGTCTGTGGTATTTGTGGCCTGAAAGAAGTAGCAGAGCCTTTGAAGGAACACACTTATGCTATAATTGAGGGATCAGTTGTTAAGATGGTTTTTTGAGTGGATTCAGAGGACTTCAACACTCCTTTGAAAACTCTGATTCTGTTTTTCCTGGAATCTTATTTTGCTTATGTTACGCAGGTACTCCCTGTGTACTATAGGAGTCAGTTTTCAATAAATTATTAAAATAAAAAAATGAGATTATTTTGGTAAAGGTGTATGCGTGTAATTGTTTGTGTCTATTGTTAAATGATGGATTACTTGATTGCTTAATAGTTAATACTAAGAAATGCAACATGAACTGTTTTTCTTACTATTGTTTAATCTCTGTTATTCTTTCTTAAAGTTATATTACGTAGAATTGCTCAAATTCCTTTTGGTTCCGGCTGAATGTTCTCGCATTCTTACACTATGTTTGGTCGAGGGAAATAAACTTGGAATTTGGGTAAAAATCAGAATTTATAAATGGACATGTACTAATTCCCTTGTTTGTTTGGATTCATATTCATAAACATAGAAATAATTCTCATCTTTGAATAATTATGAAATACAGGAATAATTAAAATATTTATGCTATTATATTACCAATGAGTACCAATGTTGAGATAAAAATGTATCCCAATATTTTGTTTTCTGTTTTTCCATTCAAAAGTTTGGTTATACACAACCTAATTTCTTTCAACATCAATCTTTAACTGATATATTTCTGCATCTTCAAAATATTCTTCTGTATCAGTATTTAGTTCCTTGATTGCATCCACCTTGTTCATTGAAACTAATTTCTTCCTTGGTGAGATAATACTTTGTAGAATTTTTTCACTTAAAGCAACTGCTATTAATTTACTGCAGCAATTGGTGGTGAAAGCAGTTTCCCTCGCTATTGCTCGAGATGGTGCTAGTGGTGGTGTCGTTCGAACTGTCACTGTGAGTTTTTCTTTTATTCTACTGTAGTCTGCAATTACTTTATGGTTTTGGGAATAGAAATATCTAGTTCCACACTGATGTACCTGCAGCCATAGTCTGCCGAGCATGTGTTTTCTATCTGTAGACTGTCTAATTAGTTCAAAACACACAGGAAATTGCGTAATGCTTGTTATTTCAGTGACATGGTCTTCTTATGAGTTTGAAATTAAGCTGTATAGCTTATTTAGCAGACAATCTGTTGCGTTTTTATACAGTAGTGAATAGCTGTTATTTCCATTCAATGAATGTGTTGGTTCTGTTTAATCGAGGTTGTGAGGATTGAACTAAAGCCTTTCAGGTTATTTGGTCCCAAAATTGCCAAAGTACCCATTGACTAAGTATGTTTTTCATTTTTTATGGCCTTCTTTCTATCTTATATTCTCTTGTGATTGTATGCGCTGTTTGCAGATAAATTCAGAGGGGGTGACGAGAAACTATTATCCAGGCGACACCCTTCCGCTCTGGCATGAGGAGCTTGAACCCCAGAATTCTTTGCTGGATATCTTGTCATCATCGTCATCTGGTCCGGACATGATGATAAGTTGAAGATTGTGGTCTCCCGTAAGACTAGGTAAACCCCAGAGATACCATGAACGATACGCTTCCTCTTGCCCTGGTCTTCACTGCGGGGATTTCAGTCTGTACTCCGAAAGTTGTACTTGACAGTTTCAGATTACCATCTCATATTTGATTGAACTTATCTTGCTGCCTGCTCGATAAGTAGTTTATAAAAGAATTTGACTGGATCCCCTTGAAATTGTTACTATTACATTTGTAGGATCATTTGATCTCAAATTTGAAGTGACTTGTTCCATATTACTTTTGTATGTTCGTACTTCGAATTGCTAGACGAAAGAGAGATCTTATACACAGGTAAATCGAAACATAAACATAGGGGGTTGAGGTCCTGCAGAACAACTCACCTGCAACACTTGATTTATACCACCGTTGCAGGGAAGTTCTCCTCGAGGTCCAGAATCCAAGTCTCTGGTTCGACGATCCCAAGTTGAGCAGTCAGTTTTGACTCAATCTAATCCAATTCAAATCTTGATGCATGCAAATCCAGGGAAAGACATGAACTCATTTATCTTTTTAGGCTTCTTTTGGTGTCAAAGATTGGATCGGAATTGACAAACGATAATTCACTCGATTCAGTTATTTGTTGAAGGAAAAATGGACGCCTTAACTCCCAAACTCCCAGTTGAGACGCCTAAACTCCCAAACTCCCAGTTGAGACATGTTTCTTCTTAACTAATCCATCTTTTACCTTCAACTTCGACCATTTAGAATTGACGTCTATTTTTTCCCTTTAACGTACATTGAATCGAGTGGATTATCAATTCCGATCCAATCATTGACACCAAACAAGGCCTTAGGTTATGCTGCTACATTGATCTTAAGGTGTTTGGGAACATTATTCCATTACCGTTAATCAGTCAAAATTTTGCAAAATTTATTTAAGGAAGTTCATTTCTGCGCATTTATACACCGAGAACTGCATGACAAACATTTCATGCTGCTGATTTTTACAATGTACTTGGGTGGGAGAATTTCAATCTGAAAAGCAAAATGGCAAATGAAGTTTAAAATTGACTTCAGACATCATCGTTGTATCCGCAAATATAAAACATGCCGTACTAGATTGTTCACTAGGCCGGAAATTTGCCGTCCCGAAAACAGAACTCGGGACCAACTAGAACCACAAGAAATTTCGGACTAGGATCCTCTGTTCAGAACTTCAGCTTCTCTCCCATGCTTATGTAAGAGCTCGGCCAGAAAGTTAGATGCCAACCTTAACCATGAAATACCACTTCTCAAACTGCTTGCTCCAGCAACTAGTAACGGCTAAGTCACCAGAAAGGTCAAACTTTAATCTTTATGCCGTGCTGATTACCGTGAAAGATTTTCCTACAAGCATCTAAGGCTCCTACTAGGGAGAAAACTGTCAGCGTATTGGCATGCTACATTAGGCATTCCCACCATCCGAGCTGCTGCAAGCTTGGTTTGGGAGCACAGCGTTGCCACCAAAATCTCCATCCAAACTCATCTGCTGGACTTCTTGCGGGGAAAGGATCTTGATGCAGCGAACACAGTTCACAAACTCCCTGGAATAGGCAAAACAACTAGTTAAGAAACAAGTTTCGATGACAAATGAAGACTCCTATGCTTTTGGCCTACAATTTTGCAAACAAGAAAATGACGTTTGATGCACGTATGCTTATAATATATTTCAAATTTTGAGCAGAAATGAGATTGAAAGACTTACTCCCAAGGGTCATCTCCAACTAGCAGAACATCATTCTCATGATCTACATACACAAGTTTCCAGCCTACCCTCCCTCGGTCCTCTAACTGTCCCTCTATACCAAACCGTCGAGCCAGATCTTGTTTAAGCTCGTCATAATTTGAATAGCGTGTCATATCTATGGATCTCCCTACAGCTCCGCGTTTGTACACCTATACATAAACATTAACCAAGTTAGAGCAAAAGACATAATCTGAAAAGCTTGAAATAGATGGTATCACAATTCTTTTTTTGTTTTGAATTTAAAATATCAAACCTTGGTGTATGTCCGCATCCGCTGAAATGGCGGAGCAGGTGGCCATGGGCCGCTGTCCAGAAAGCTGCTATCGTTTATTGCTGAGTCAATCGAATTGAATGTCATATCAGGAACTCCAAAGGACTGGGAAACCATTGAAGTTGAAAGTTCCACCTGAGCATCTTTCGAATTTTCATAGTTGCCAAGCATGCCACCTGAAGAGAGAGTATTTGAAAAATCCTTTGCTAACCCCACCACGCCTTTGGCCAACATAGGATCAGGATTCAAGGGTATCCCTATTTGACCATCAATGTTAGAACCATACGGAACATTGTTTCTCTGATCCACCAGAACTTCCACTTCTTGACTTGCTTCTCTGAATAACATTGATTGTGGATGGAAAGGTAACGGGGCGTTATTCTGCTGTAAATGGACATCATTCTGAGAGAGGCCAACTGAAGTTGTTGAAGATGATGTGTCCAAGTAATCTGTCTGGGACGCTGCACCGTTCATGTATGCTTGCGGAGCAAGAATTCCTTGACTTTGATTCCTAGCAATGTTCACTGACGGCTTAACTTCAGACTTATGTTGGAAATCTTTCATCAAGTTACCATGAGATGGCATTCTGTCTATGGCACCGGAACTCAATATTGTGGTGGCAGACTGAGCTATGTCCTCCCCTATTGATGAGTTTCGGTGGGATCTGTTGTTCGTCAACGGTTGAATTACACTCGGGCCGTTGTTTGTGGATGGTGAAGTTGAACAAGATGGAACCTCATCTGTAATCCCAGACTGCCCAGCTCCTGCAACCGCTGTCATCATATTGCTACCCACTGTAGAGAGGTGATTGGTGGTTGTGTTTGGGAGTCCCATGTGGCTGGACATTTGAGGCAGCATACCAGATTGCTGCTGTTGAAGCTTTGGCTGCTGAGGTGGTTGAGAAAACCGAACATTAGCTTGGCTGTGACTATTCTTTGTCATCTGCTGTGGCATTGTTCTTGACTGAGGATGCGAGGTTGGTGCCATTTGAGGCATATCTAACATTTGGGTGGGAGAAGGCCTCGAGAAGCTCTGGGACATATCAAACATTTGCCTCTGCTGGTCCTGGAGTTGGACTTGTTGGGCGGGATGTTGCAGTGCCTGCTGCGCTAAAAGTGACTGCTGTTGCTGTTGAAGCTTCTGTAACAGTTGAAACTGAAGCTGATTATCCGAAAGATGTTGTAACTGTTGGTTCATTTGATCTGGTGGTTGAGACTGAATAAAACTCTGCTGTTGATTTTGACCCATAATTTGTTGTTGATGCTGCTGCTGCTGCTGCTGATGCTGCTGTAGGTTCTGAGGTATGTTTCTTTGAAGATGGTTTTGAGCAGACGATTGCTGCTGAAGAACACCACTGTTATTTTGGGCAAGGGTCTGAGGTTGCAAAAGCTGGGACTGAACTTGGCTCAAGGGCAGAGTTTGATTGACCGAATTTTGCCGGGGTGGTTGAGAATTATCTCCCAACTGTTGCTGACGTTGTATCATGGATGCTAACGGGCTCAATGAGGATGCCTGCTTTGGGAGCTGATCAAGCTGTTGCACTTGCTGAGGTGGCCTCTGGCCATTGAATTGTAAATTGTTCATTTGAGGTATTTGAGGAGCCGACAAGCCCAACTGCCGAGAAAGATCTGCTCCAGCAAGGTTTTCCATAGCTGAACCAGAATACGAATGCATATAATTTGGCTGCATGGAGTTGCCTGCGGAAGAATTTTGCTGCAAGTTCATCCACTGGACTAAGTTTAGGCCAGGTAGAACCTGGGGATCCTTCATGGACATATCATCACCAAGCCAAGGCATTGTTCTCTTGAAAAGATTATCCATATCATAGTCCTCATCTGCGAAAGATAAATCAAAGTTATTGATGTCTTTTCACCAAAATTCCAAATTCAAAATGCGGTTAAGTTTCTAACGGCGCGTTTGGCTGACTCAAAACGAGGGTATAAAACATGCAAGGAAAAGGATAATGAAGCCTCCAAATGATTCAAATCATAGTTTGTTGTAGCATACAAAAGATCACAAAAAAGATACCCTTTTAAGTCCAAAGGTCAAACATTTATCATAGAAGGAGGAAGAACTAGTATAATTCATCCTTCAATATATATTATATCTTTTACCTGGCATTCCTGGTTGCCTGGGACGCTTTGATCTGAAGAATGGTGGGGGGCAGATGAAAAATGGAGCAGTAACAGGCTCAATTTCCCAAATTGAAACCCGATTACGCCTTTCCCCAGCAGTTGATTCGTCCCAACCAACCTATTCAAAGAAATGTGAGGCATTAGGGGTTATTTTCAATGACCGACAAGATGACTGTAAGAACAAAGGGAAGAGATACAACGAGAAGTTTCCATCACATTTACCTGCAAATTACGCCATTGTGAGTGCTTCCACCTAACAGGATCAAGATCACTAATTCCTGTAATTGTACCCATGTACCTGCGCAACAAAATTTCTTATGTTCAACTCCTACACTACCATAAGGTTTGCAAATGATCATATTCCGCAGGCCATTTCTAGTTCATTAAGTATATTTTGTGAATTACGTACCAGATCACTGATGCCAAGATTACTAAAATTCTACATAGAACTTAAACTGAGATACAAGTATACAACTACCTTCTTGTCCCTGACTCTTCAGTTTCGAACATCATACGAAAACGCATGCCTAGTGATAGTTGGTTGCCACATGCTGCCTTGTAGTACTTGGCTAAAGGGATAACAAACTCTGATGGACTAGCCCTGCATTTGGAAAAGTATATTTTAAAAATGATATATATTGAATTCATTCGATGAGTAATAACAAAGGTGAGTCGTTCCCACAATTAGGATTCTATAGTCATAAAATAAAGATGATACATTCGGAATAAAAAATTGATAGATGTTAACCTAGGATTGTAGAATACTGTGAAGGGGCTATTATTAGCGGCAGCATGAGCTGCAGCTGCTAAAATTCCAATATGCATACTGTCACTTGACAATACTGAAGATGATAGGTTGGTGGGTTGCCTGTTTGCTCGTCTAATTCCCAAAAGAAGCTGCTGTTTTTCATCCCTGATCATGAAAAGTGTGACCGTCAGAAGAAGTTGCTTATTTTCCAGTCCAAAATAGGGAAGAGGAAACTAAAATATACATCTGTATAACTTGAAAGAGGCACTTTTACCAATAAATCATACTTAAGGTGAAAATTTAATACTCCAAAATAGAATATCCCAAGATTTCCATTTCATCGTGATTACCTGATGAACAAGACGGAATCACCAGCGAAAAGCCTCTTCCCACTAACAAATAGGCTCCATCCTGTTGTAAGCAAGTGGCGTTTTGGTTGCCCTGAATCAAGCAAATCAAGGAATGACATGAGATGTTTAGAAATAGGATACTAATGGTTCATCCATATATGTACATTCAAATGGATAAAAAGATAGCATACCACGATAGATATGGCGGAAGGTCCAAACAGTATCATGCAAATCCCGGGCGACAAGTTCTTGGGCAGGTGGTTGCATGGAGAAATCCTATGTAGAAGATGAAACACTATAAAACTTTGCAATTATCGAGGAAAACCTTGGGAATGATGTAAACTTGCTTACGAGAGGAGGGAAAATCTTTTCTGCTGCACGTCGGGGCACTGAGAAACCTCCATGAGTGCTTGTATCACTTGCTGTCAATGTTTTGCAGAAAAATTCTGGTTGGGGCTTATTTGTCTTGAGCGCAAGATCTGATCTCAATAGTGCATCCTTGTCAAACTACACGACAACGAATTGATGAATGAGGTTCCAGAAACTTTTACCTTCTAAAGAACAATGGAAAATTATCAAGTGACAGAAAGGCATGCCCATAGTACTATAAGAACGTAATAATCTTCAAGTCATTACGAACATAGTCCTTACCGATGACACGGGCAGAAGTGTCATCTGAGCATAAACTTCGTCTGTTTCGGGGTCCGCCTTGTAAATGAAACATAAATGAGAAAATCAATTAGAAATGATCATGAATACAACTCTGTTTACAAAGTAATACTTAAAGCAGATAAAATCACCCATACATGCAAGGTGACATTGTGAAGGAGACAAAGTAGCTTGGATGGAAGATTCGGGTAGTTCGGTATTTGACCATCCACATCCTTTTTCATAGAAGCCGCAACCTGGAATCGGAAATTTCAGGTACAAATCAGTACAGACCGCCTCCAAAAGGAAGAAACAAAAAACACCCAGGAAATTCTCCAAAAACAAACAACAATAATAAACGTATTTACTTAAATCCAAATAAAAACTTAGCTACAACAGTAATTGTTGAACAAAAACAGTAACAATATTTCAAAACCCATCAACACCAATTGCTTTATTCGGAAAATAAAGTAGCAGTAGACCACAATATTTCAATGTTTTAATGTGTGTGTGTGTGTATATATATATAACACACACACGCGCACTTATATATGCATAAAACCAAATGTTTTGGGAAAATTTAAAAAAGGAAGGCCACCAAAAGATTGCTATTAACAGAGAGCTGCTTGATAAATGAACTCAAAAAAACATGAGTTCATAAAAATGGCAAAGCAGAATGTGAAGGATAAGCATAAACACCGATGCGGCGCATGATAGCAACATCCACAATAAAAAACACCCACCCACCTGTTCGCTGTGGCCTTGAGGGAAGTACACCACGTGGGTCCCGGCCGGCGGCAAGTTCACCAGCGGCCCGGCGCACGCTTGCCATAGCTCCGGGTTTATGCTCTTTACATTCTCTCCCCCTGCACACGTGTCGGCCACCCATTCGTCAGAAACCACCACAGCACAAAACCCCCGTCTTTTCAGTTTGTTTTCCGAGAAAACGCAAACGGGGGAAAGAAAATTAAAGACCAACTGAAAGGTTGTAAGAATCTGGATTCTGGGAATCTCAGAACGTAACCGCCGGCCAGCGGCAGTTAGTTACCGAGTCCCGTATATAAAACTTGTAACGAACAAAACGATATAAACAGACAAATCAAATAAATACACAGCAATTGTATCGATCCACCGATCCATCCGCTGCTTTTTAAATATCGTGTTTTTAGAGAGAGGGAGAGTCAATCGATTTGAGTGTTCTAGAGAGAGAAAGCACCGACCTGGGCATGAATTGGATGCGCAGTTGGCGACGGAAGCTCCCGCGCCGTTCGCCGGCGGCTTCATTGTTTGCTATGGCGACTTGGGTTTTTACGAAATTGTATAAATCGCCGAGAGTCTCACTTGCGCATATCGCCAGAGATATATTGGCAAGGAATTAGACCTGCTTTCCGAGCTCGTCTCAGCTCCCGGACGACGCACTCGGACCAAGTTCTCTATCAGCTGAGTTCAGATCAGCTCGGCAGAATCTGCAGCTCCCGAAACAAATTGAAAAAAAAATGGAAAAGAAAAACTTTCCCGGAAAAAGTTTGTAGCTTTCCCGGGAAAGGGTAGGGGCTTTTCCGGCGAGGTAAAGGGGGGGAAACGGCGAAGTAAAAGGAGGGAACAGAGGGGCAGAGAAAAAGGAGGGCTTGCTGAGACTAAGAGAGACCAAATGCTGAAGCTTTGCCCCCTACCTTCCCCCACACCACCCAGACACTGCCTTTCTTCTCTCTCTCTATCTCTCTCTCTCTCTCTCTCTCTCTCTTCTTCCGAATGCTCAATTGCTCCCTTTTTCTTTTCTTTCACTTTCTCTCTTTCTACATCAAAATAATTTCTCTCTGATGTTCCTTGAAAATGGCACTGACTAAAATGGGGCTTTGGCTCTTAGTTGACCTTATGGAGTAAAGTTAAGGAAAAGAGTAAAAGAGTAATACTATCCTAATTTTTTTTTTGGATTATATTTACAAATTAGGTGATATGTTATAAATATAAAATAAACACGTTAATTAATATTTAATAATTAAATTATCAATAATCATATCATATGATTTAAACTTATTACAAACTTATCAATTAAAAATGGCCTTGCTCTAAGTTAATAATCTCTAGTAGCTCTTTTTTTTTTAAATACCTTTTAGGAAAAGGGTGTGCTATTCACACGCTCATTTTTACTTCTCATACACCGTTTGTTAATTTTTGGTCTTTGATCTTTTTCTATTCATCCGATTTAACGGTTGAAAATTAAAAAGATATGTGAGAAGTAAAAAGAGGTCCCCTTAGGAAATGGATAGTTCATTTTCTATCTCATTGTTGGCACCTCGGGAGAACTAACAAAAAAAATCTAGCTAAATAACTAGCTATCTTAACCTTGTGAAGAATAACTAGCTAGATTTAGCTAGGAAGGGATAAAGTTAAATTTTTGCTAAACATTAAAAATTATAAAATTGTATTGTTTATGGGCTTTAAGATAAAAAAGGGCTTGGGTTGTTGTCTTTAATATAAAATATTACTTAAAAGTGTGTAGGAGTATCGGTGTAGAATAACTAGAGTACTTTCATTCTTTTCTCAAGGAGGTATATATAGGATTACAAGTAGGGTTACAAGACCATACAATCTAATCAATTTACACCCATGACTCACCAACACTCTCTCAAGGTGGAGCATAGATATCATCGATGGCCATTTTTACAAGTGAGTCACGAAAAGCTTGACACGACAAGGCATGTGTTGGAATATCAACCAGCTGCTCTGTATTCTTCATATACGGAATTAACTTGATTTTTCCTTCAATTTCTCATAAACAAAATTACGATCAATCTCCACATGCTTTGATCTAACAAAAATTTAGCTTGTATTGTTGAGATGCTCACTAATTACCCTAAAGTTAATTAGGAGATTACCTCAAATTACCCATTTGTCCCTTTCATAGTATAATCTAACACATGAATATTTGTTATTGGCTGCAAAACAAAACATGATTATGTGTTAATTGACCAATATCTTGACCGTCACCATCACTGTCCATTGTGCACATGATGAAAGTTATTGTACATTGGTTCTTTGTGTTTCCTTGTTCTTTTCATCTTCAACATGATGTTTACTGGTTGGATGTGTTAAATTTCCGATTTTAGATTTTTTAATTATAAATTATTGTTTATTGTAAAAATGGAGACTTTGGATACGGTCCTTAGTTATGAATATTCTTTGATTGAAACCTTGTTGGTTTTTAATTTTTGATCAAGGTCCTTGAAATTAATGTGATAATTTATTTCTATGTACGTTACTATATTTTTTAAATTGAAAATTAGAAATTTTAGTTGTTTATATAAATGAGATTTTAAATAAAAAAAAACCATAATTTGTGGGATTAAAAATATTAAAATATAAAAATACTAGTGTGTGTGTATATAAACATGGGTACATTCATCAAAATTAACCAAAAATTTAATTGTATCAAAACATGGGTACATTCTTCAAAATCACAAAAAAAAAAAAAAAAAAAAAGATATCAGGCTTAATAACATTAGTAAATTTCTTCGATTAAACTTGACATGGATACATTTTAAAATCAAAGAAAAAAGAATGTACCCATATAAGTTAAAAATGGATTAGAAAAAAATTGAATAGATTTTATATAAAAAATTGTAAATTTTACATATAACAAATTGGTATATTTAAGAATGAGTACATTTTAAGATTAAAAAGTTTTACATGAATGGGTACTTATAATTAGCATGGGTACATTTAGCAAAATAAAAAGTACAAATAAAATAATTATATATGGGTACAAATACAAATAAACTTTAAAAAATATGGGCACAAAAAGAAATTAATATATGGGTACAAATTAAAACTGAAAAGAAAATTGGTACAAATTAAATATGTGTCCAAATTAAAAATGGGTACAAACTAAAACTAAAAATATATGATAAAAAATTTAGTCAGAAATATAAATATACTAATTGTAACATTTTTAACATTAAATAAATATATTTAGAAATAAAAAAATATTTTATTATTGAAATAATTAATGATGTTATTAATACCCAAGGACCTTGATCAAAAATTGAAAATAAATAGGATTTTAATCAATTGAGTAGCAAGCTGAAGGATAAGAACCTAATTTCTTCTTGTAAAAACCTAGAAAGTTAATAAAAAAATTATCTGCACAACCAAAACAAAATAAAATTTGTAACACACTCAAGTTACAAGTCGGCGACTTCACCAATATTGATGCAAGATCCATCATATAAATAGGGTTGTAAATTAGTTCGATACAGTTCGAGTTCGTGGCTTGAATTTGGGTCGTCTGATATCAAATCATGATAGAAACAAATCAGGCTTGAGGTATACCACATTTAGCTTACAAAGTTCGTGAGCAACTCGTTCACAAGAAATTTTAAAATAAAATATTTTTGTTTTTTAACTTTGAAGTTTTAAGTACTTTTTAGATATTGAATACCAAATCATTTTGCCGTTAATTCTTAGTTTTTAATTTTTACACTTATGACTTTAAACTGGTTTAGTCCAGCTAAGGTTCGGGTAGTATAAAACAAGACGAGCAAGTGGCGGATTGCGCTGTTAACTAGGATCTTTTTCTTCGATTTATTGCATTTCGGATTAACTTTTTCCTTCTCTTAGTGTAAATTGAAGTAGTAATATTATCACTTGTATAAGAAAGAGACAAGACAAGACTAAACCAAAACTCAAAGAAAAATGCTAGTAACCTTCTTGTTCTACCTTCATGCAATGTTGCATGATGATCTAAACTGTCTATTTTATAAGTTACTTTTTAAACATCAACTCTGCAAAAAGAAAAAGGAAAGAAAAACTAATGTTTTTGTCATCTAATTGCCATTTAATAAATAAACGAACTATGATCCTCACTTAATACTGAAAGCACAATTATAAGATTTATGATTTGGTTGATATTTTGCATGGTTGGTTTTTTAAAAGGTGACTTATAAAATAGACGGTTCAAATTATTAAGCAACAATTGACAAGATCAATTATGAGTGTGCATGAAGAAACAAAAGTGTGAGTTTATCATCTCTTATAATGTTCATACAAAGTTAATGTGAAAGCCTTTTTAATTAATTGAGGATAATTGTATATTTAAAAGTTAACCAAATTAGACTGCCCATTGTGTGGCTTAGGAAAACTCTTATCTTCTTAGTGTAAAAATATCGATGTACTCAAACCAAAAAAAAAAAAAAAAAAAAAGAAGTCAATGTCAATGCCGTGTTCTCATTCTAACTAAAGTAACTAAGCTTAACGATATAGGGTTCATAGAAAGGTAGTTGCGTCCATCAATTGCTATGTATTTTCAAGGAATGTTGCTTTCCCAGACTCACCTACCCCTAATCGCTTGGGGCAAGTAGTTGTGGTTCAGAAATCATTGAACCTTGTATAAATAAAATGCGATGCATGAACTAATTGAAGTGCACATTTATTTATTTATTTTATTTTTTATGAAAGGTATTCCTGTGGAGAAAATTAGAAAAAGAGGAAGTAATTTGACGGAAAAAAAATAGTTAAAATGGAAAATCACGCTCGAGCACCACTTATGTAGACATTTTGCTTGTTTATATCCAGACCGGCCATTTCTGAATTCTTACGTGTAAAATATGGATACCTAGATTTTATTTATTTTTTTCTTTTTTTTTTTCAAACGATAATTTTGTTAGATTAGTTCCCGACGAAGTTTGAACTCACGCCGTCATGCAAGGACTCAAAACCTTTTCACTACTATGGTAAAGGGTCACTTGCATATTTAGAAAGTTTTTAGTACCATAGGATAACTATGCAGATTAAGCATAATTAAGTATCAAAACTCTTCAAAAATAAAGTAGCTACTAGTTAGTTATTATAGTGATATTAAATCTAAGACCTCTGGATAGTTATTATTTTTTTATTAAGCCAAATTAAAAAATAAGTTCATAGAGTGCTCGTTTGTGAGTACCTAATTATTATCCATCTATTATTGCTTACTGGCGTTGAGATCCAAGATTGCATGCTACTGAGTACTGACCGATCTCTTATTAATCTCACATGCAAATTACACAGAATGGTCGCGTCCATAAGTGAAAACTAAGAAACTTTGGTTTTGCTTTGGTTGCTTTCTAATTGTTGGTTTACTTATTGCAAACCTTTTACTTTACTTGTCCTAACAAATCTTTTACTTGTCCAAATAAGTACTTGTTGACGTAGCAAAGCTAGCCTAAATTATTTTCTCATCCCAGTTTAATTAGGTAATATTTTTTTATGTGCTTTCATTTTTATTTTTAAAAAGAGGACAATTAGTGGTGAACCACGGTCATTCACCCCTTTCAGGTCCGAAGAAGATTAGTTGGGAAGGAGAGTTCAATAATTTAGCATGCAATAGCATTGCCCTCATGCTTTTCCCTAACAAAAGAAATTCCAAATGACCATAACCTTGAAGTATGTAAGATATGCAATTGCATAACTACTAATAATAACAATATGTTGTAACACTAATAGTAGTGAAATTGCACAAACACCATCTCAAATACTGCAGGTGTGCTCAAATATCACATAAACTAAATCTTGCCAATTTATCACTCAAATTTATGCTTAAGTGTGAATGTTACAACCTCCATATATAAGTTTTCGTTAAAACTTTAGTCAAAACGTATCATTTGCAATATATGTGGAAACTCTTTCTAAGGATTGTTTTTTCCCACAACCTAGCTGACTGAACAAGAATTCAGTTGACTAAAGTTTGATGGACATATCTTTCGCTCCTCGAAGGC